CACCCCCCCAACCCAAACACCCGCCCACACACACACCTTTTCCCCCATCGTCCTGCTTCCAGCTGCCTACTCCAGACATCTCCTGGCCGCCAGCGGCTTTTCCCATGTATGTATGCTTCCAGGCGCTAGTTCCAGACACTCTATGGCTGATTGCTGCAGTCTCATCCTGCCTGCCAGCTGTGCCACAAATCCATCTGGCGGCTTACCTGTTGTTGTCACCATGGATCCTAGCTATCCAGCCGTCCTCGCACCCTCAAAGTCCTAGGTCAGCTGCTGCCAGCCTTCCTTATGTCCGCTTGTTGCTGCTGCCAGGTCAGGACAGCAAACAAGCTGCTGTCAAATCACCATCCAGACATACTACAGATCCCACTACCTCTTCTTTGCGGCAAGCTGCAGCCCTCACTTCCACTCCTGTTGTACCCTCAACACTCCACCATCTTATACTACCCTAAGTATACCCCTCCCTTCCTTTCTACCACCCAAACATCTCTTTCTCCTAGCCCTAATTGGGTCTGTGTGTTGTGTCTTTATTCTTATTCCCTTTTATTGTATGTGTCATTGTAACCATATCAAAATTCAACAATAATATTATTCATTTTATTTGGGGTTTGGGCTTTTCCTCCGATGTCATTCTGCAGTAAAAATATTACTCCATGAAGGAGCTTGAAGAAAAGCTTGGTAACATATGGGAAACGAGCAAAGTGTAATAACTTCCTCACTCTAACTATAAAGTGTAAAGAATGATGCCATACATTGTCAAAATTAACCCATGCAAGGCATGACAGATATTTTGCTAGACTTTCCAAGTTCCATATATGGGATTCTATAATCAATTATAAAGGGATATATTATTATCTGACAAGTAAAATATATTTCCTCAAAGGCTACAAGTTATTAGAGACTATTTACAGAATCAACAGCTCTCAGATGCATGCAGCTAAGCCAGTTATTCGCATATCATAGGAGCACAAGATCAAAACTTTAATTGTGAAGGAAATCCAAACACAAATAACACTCCATAAATGATCTTCAGTAAGACAAATCAATTGTCAGAAAAAAAAATTATCAAAAAATGTAAATCCTAAGGCAAGACCACTGCAAAACTTACCTTAAATGAAGTGCAACATATGGTTGTCCATCTTGCCGCATCTTTGATACTAAGAATGCCCCGTAGCCCTTAATGGGAGCAGAATATTTCAGTGCCTTATAATTTACTCTACATCTCAGTTTCTGAATAGAGGTCGGAAGTCCATTGTTAACAAGCCTAGAGTCAGTATGAGTGAAGAATAAAACTCTGTGTTTTTTCAATAGAAGGAGGACATCTTCTTTGTAATAATTCACCTGAACCGCATCAATAGAATAATCAATGGCTTGCACAAAGCAAGAAAACAAAAGCTTTGAATTTTTATTTATAGAATGAGCACCGGATCAACCTTAGACCAAGATATAGGAGTTATCATATATGGTTCAATCTCTCTGAAGCCAGCAGGCAGAGTCTCAACTATATGAACGTCATCCTTTAAGGTCTCAATAAAATATTTCCAATCAAAAAGATCCTTGAAATTACTGTTGAATATGAAATAACAAAAAAATCATGACTTGTAAAACAAATAAATCAATGCTACGAAGAGAATGATTAAAAAAATGACAATCTAAATAACCTATCATCTGCCCAGTAGGATTTATGATCGAGCAAAGGAAGAACAAGTGTGGCTTTCATAAGCTTGGCAACAGCAACCATGTCACAGATCTGCACTCTAACAAAATGATGCATCAGAGTATTGTAGAAGGACATTTCCACAGAAACCTAATTGAAACCAACTGTATTCAGATTTCAGACCCCGAATCTCATCTGATTCAAACCTCCGTTTGCATTAACTAGAATATAGCCATTTGTCATAGCATCAAGCTCTGCAGGAAAAAAAAAACATTCCTAATATACTGGAATCAAGATTGCATAATTACTGCACAGAAAAAACGGAAGCAAAAAATCTCATTGGAGAAAATAGCAATTGTCAGAAATCAAAGAAAGATCAACTTACTTTTATAATATGCTGGTTCAATGCACTTCTTAAAATTTTCACTGTTTGGCTCAGCCCAGATCTCTGAGTGCTGGTGAGCGAAAAGGGAAAGTGTAAGCGAAATATGCAAAACTAAAAAGATATATCAACAACCTATAGTCATGGAGATGAACTTGACTCAATGAAATGGTCATGTCCACTCATCAGGTATCCATCATTGTCCTCTCCTACCTTACTTCCATGGCTAGATGATAAACCCGCTTTCTGACCAGTCATTTCACTCAATAATTCCTGCAAAAGGTAAGCACAAAAAGAAGCTCTATTATATATAACAATGTGCAAGTAAGATGAACCTGAAGGTTGGTCTGAATTCAAAATTTCCAAACAACTGCAGGTTATCATGATGGCAGATAAGATCCTAAGAGCTTTCTGACAACATAAATCTAGAAACTAGATGAGCTACTGTATCATTCAGGTAGCTAAGGTTTTGAATCTAATATCAGACATAGCCCAAGAAAATCAAACTATAATTGGAAATAAAAAGAAAAAAAAACCAACATTTCTCTAAAGGAAATTTAGATGAGATAATTGAGGACTCGTGCACAAAAAAATTACACCCGCCCAGTTATAGCATTTGGAGTCCCAAGGGCACGCTCAACCATTACACTTGAATAAATCACTTGACTAAACAAAAGTAATCTCTTACTCCTACATTTGCTTTCAAAAACCTTTCCATGTCTGCATTCAAATATGAACTCTTTAGCCGATTAAAGGATGTTGTTGTTAAGTGGTTAGTTGTGGCTGGGAAGTAAAGTCATGCCAATGAACACTTAATCATTCTCCCCTTAATGAAAAAACTCGACCTCGAGTTTAATATTTAATAAAACAGTTTCCAACATTGTTGCAAAATATGAATATTTATGGAGAATGCAAGTATCACCAACAACAACAACAACAAGCATAACCCACTAAGTGGGGTAGGCTACATGAATCATTTTTCTCTATTGCAACTTATCGATTGTCATATTTTCATCTACTTCTAATAAATTAAGATAATGTTTTATACAACATGCCCAAGTCCCTTTAGATTTGTCTCTACCTTTATAATATAAGTCAAATATAAAACATCTACTATCCTAATAAGGACATTAGATGGTTTATGTGTAATGTGACCAAACCATCTAAGACAACTCTTTATGATCTTGTCTGCCACTGGAGCTATTGCAACCCTTTCAGGGATATATTTGCTCCGCATTTGTCTCTTAAGTGTAAAGCCACTCATCCACCTTAGCATTCTCATCTCATCAACACTTAATTTTATGCTTCTTTTTTACAAGCCAATATTTTGCACCATAAAGCATAATAGGTCTCACCGTCATCTTATAAAATTTTCCTTAGTCTAAGCGGTACTTTTCTATCACACGATAGATCTGATGCATTCCTTCACATCAACCATTCAACTTAAATTATACTAATAACATCTCCATTTATGCCAACATCACTTTGAACAATAGACCCAAGATATTTAGAACGATCACTCATTTTGATGATTTGATAATCAATTGTTAGAATCCTACCATTACATCTACCACTACTAAAATTATATTCCATGCATTCCTCCATTTCAACCAACCAACATGAATTCTACTAATAACATCCCCATCTATATCACCATCACTTTGAACAATAGACCCGAGATATATGAAGCGTTAACACCTTCTAATAATTTGATCACCCATAGTTACATTTTTTTCGCTTGAGCTACTACTACTAAAATTACATTCCATGTACTCAATTTTAGTACTACTCAAACGAAGACCTTTAGACTCCAATGTAGACCTCCATAATTCAAGTTTTTCTTGTGTTTTCTCTCTCGTCCTATCCACGAGAAGGATATCATCAGCAAAAAGCATACACCAAGGTATATCGCCCTATAAATGTCCAGTAAGACCATACATAACTAAAGCAA